GACTGCACAAGGACAGCCACGGACATATGCGGACCATTCCACGGACTGTCCATCGGCTCATCAGGGAAGTCGCGGTTTGCAAATGCTGTAAAAGGGATCGCCCAGAAAGTACGCATTTTTTTTTCTCGAATTCATTCCGCAAATTACGGGAGGTCGGCGCATGAGCTAGGCAACCCAGCAGGACGCGCATGCCCTGCGAGCAAGATGTTGCCTACCTAGTAGGCGCTATGAGCCTGCGACGGCAGGTTCGAGCTGGCGAATAACCGACATTCTTACTGTTTGATCCCCATCGTCGCAAAAGAATCATTGTGCTTTATGAGTGAGCAAACCCCGAGGGGCCACCACATCGATTGAGGATGTACACAGGATTATTTGATTACAGGGATTACACGTGAATTTTAGGAGATTACATGTGAATTTTGTTGAATTTCAGCCTCTAAAATCATCAAATTTGGATAATAAGGTAAAATTAAGTGACAATGTTTTAAAATTTGGTCAAGGATTAAACGGAATAGATAATGCTTACACCCTCATCTCTACACAGGATTACGCTAGTGGTGGCCCCCTCCGCAAACCCGCTAAGGTTCGGCGATCGCTCTGGTACACCCGGTTCTGGTCGTGGCCATTTCTCAAGAAAGATTGGATGTTGAAATTTAACTCGGTGGAGCGATTGACTATGATAGGAACTCTATGTGGTTAGAGTGCGTTCAACTGCCCTCACTTCAGTAGCCGCAATTGCTTGCAGGGCGCCGAGCTACGAGTACCGGTGCGACGCGCGGCGCGGCGGCTGCGTCAGGACGACAAAACAGTCCGGCCAGCTCGAGCGGCGGAACAGCAGCGCCTGGGACGAGTTCGCATGGTAAGTACCAGGTCGGTTGCGGGCGCCAAGCAATGCCGTTCATGCGAAACGAACGCCCGTAGCGAAAGCTGACAGAAACAAGTGATGGATGCCAAATATTTAACAGTGTGTGTCTCTCCAGAGCTCAATGTGTCGCAATGGCAGGTTATGGCAGGCCCAGCCGGCTACACAGTTAAGCTATCGCGAACAAAGCCACGCATCTCTCGTGCGGTTCCCGTTGGTTTCAGAAATTTCGGCACGATGGCGGCGGCGGTTGGCTCCGGCTCCCGTCAAAACCGTGCGGACGGTGGCTGCTGGCCCCGCGCCGCCGCGAGCCACCGGGCCTCGTGGCCACAAAGGCCGCGCGAGGCGTTTTGGGAACGGACGTCCAATTTCAACGTGTTTTCTTTTCCCACGACGCTCGCGCAAGCTCGAGTTCGAATCAGGGCACCCTAACTTTGTCAATTTATCATAAAAAGAACGAACGATAAAGTGGTCACGTCGCAAGGAACGTGTCAACGTAACAAAACACGTGCTTAAACGTGTTGAGAGGAAAAGTTAAAGTTGTGGGTTTAAAAAGTACGCTGAAAGTAAGACGTGAATAATATTTCGTATAAATTGGGCAAAAAGAAATAACGTATTTCGAAAGAGCCACGGCTAAACCTATGAGTTATAAATTCAACTCCTCAAATAATGGTAGGGGACTTGGAGGTACTGAATGCTAACCTGGCCTTGTTGTCTGTCTGTCCCAGGTCCTTGCGTGCGTGTCAGGTGCGGTGCGGGCGCGCGGGGTCGCTGTGGCCGCTGCCGACGGGCGCGGTGTCGCTGGGCGCGCGGCTGGCGGTGGTGACCGCGGGGGACCTGCTGCTGCCGCCCTCCTGCGCCTCCTCGCCGCGCCTCGCCCACCTGCTGCATCTCGCGCACCGCGGCCTGCAGCGCCGCCTCCAGGCCGAGGAGGTCGCCTCCCGCGCCCAGTACGCGCGCGGCGGCCACGCCCGGGCGCTGCGGCCGCCGTGGACCCTGCCCCCCGACCTCGACCCCCGGGCGCAGCTCCGCCGAGGGCGCAGCCGGCGCAGTGCAGCGGCCTCGACAGCGCAGGTAAGGCTGTTTGTGACCACAGTGTGACCACAGTGTGACCACCGTGTGACCACCGTGTGACCACCGTGTGACGGGGCGGCGGGATGCTCGCCGAGCGCCGGTGCGGGCCGAGGATGGTCGCGCGGTGCGGTCCTGGAGCCGCGCGCAAGGTCGCCTGGTGGCTGAGGCATGCCGCAGGCACGCCAGCCATCGGACCATCGGGTCCAACGTCGCGCCACAAGCAGCCAGTTGGGCAAGCGCAGAGTATGTCGTCGTGGGCAGAGGGGGAGGCCGCCGACGGACACGGACCGCCGCCTCGAGAGCGCTCCCCGGCCGAACCCCTACGAGGTGGGCAGCCGCGACACGCTTGTGCGCGGCGGGCGAGCGCGAGGCCGGCGTCGGTCTATTCCTTGGATAGCTCGTGGACAGTGTTCACTACTTACAGTGCTGGGGCGCGGATGGGGTGGCTTCTCGGTGGCCGCTCTTGATCTTCGGATGCACCTATGTGGTGAGCGGGTAGGTCTTGGGCAAGCGGAGCAGGCGAAAGAGCGGAGAGAACACTCCCGTGACGTCCACACGTGCACCCAAAAAGATTCCGATATCAACGAAATGCGGTCAATCGAGCGAAGAGCCTTTTGCACTTGATTTGAGACCAATTTCACTAGTAGTGAGACTAGGTACCAAGTGGGAGAGTTAACCTGCTTCTTCTCCGAAACGCAGCTCGACGTGGAGGTGTGCGTCCAGGGAGACTCCCTCGCCCTGGACTGGTACACCGACGAGAGCTACGCTCTCGATGGCCTCTACGAGGAAGAGCCGCGGCAGGACGACGAGGGACGTGCCCGACGAGTGCTCAAGGCCAGGATCGTGGCCGCCACGTACTTCGGCGCTCGCCACGCCTTGGAGACCCTCTCGCAGCTCGTGGCGCACACAGGTTGTCCAATGTCCACGCTTGCCGGCGTTACCCTCAGCGCCGCCCTCCCGCCACTGACCAGAAGTCCTTGTCCTCGACGCGCAGGTCCACCCCCTGACGGCAACTCCGACGGCAGCCTCGTGGTCCCGGACCGCTTCTCGGTGACGGACGCTCCCGCCTACCCGCACCGGGGCCTGCTGCTCGACACGTCCAGGAACTACTACACACCCGCGTACATCCGCACCACCATCAACGCCATGGCCCAGAACAAGCTCAACGTGCTGCACTGGTGAGGAGTGCTCTCTGAGCAGCTCGCTGAGAAGCTTACAACGGCCCCCCTTGGGCTCACGCGGCTCCGGCTCACAACACTTCCCTGTTGCAGGCACATCACGGACTCGCAGAGCTTCCCTTACGAGTCGAACAGCCTCCCCCAGATGTCTGCGTACGGCGCTTTCTCTGCCAGGTGAGCAGCCTTCCCCGTCGCACTCCCTTCCGCAACGGCCGCTCTCAGGGTAGGTTGGTGAACTATGAACCCCGCACCCAGAAGAACGTATCTTTGACTTTACGTCAAAAAGTGCTTCCGTTGTTCCAAAGGAGAAAATGTTGACTTGGTGTAAAGATTGATTGCGCTAAGTCCGCACACATGAGCCCGACGGGCGACCGACACGCCGACACGAGCCCGCGAGGTGACCTGGCTGGGCCCGGAGCCCGTCCCGTCCCGTCCGCACGCCAAGCTCACAGTTCACGCTCCTGTCTCCCGCAGGCAGACGTACCCCTCGCGGACGGTGCGCGAGCTGAGCCGCTTCGCGCTGGCCCGCGGCGTGCGGCTGCTGCCCGAGCTGGACGCGCCCGCGCACGCAGCGGCCGGCTGGGGCTGGGGCCGGGCCGCGGGGCTGGGCGAGCTGGTCGTGTGCGCCGCGCAGCAGCCCTGGATCCGCTACTGCGTCGAGCCGCCCTGCGGACAGCTCAACCCAGCCAACCCCAACGTGTACCGCGTCCTCGCCGCACTCTTCCAAGACATGCTCAAGGACTTCTACGGTGAGAGAGAGAGGGGGGGGGAGAGGGAGGCA